GTAGAAACATGAAGGTGTCTCCCTCCTTCTTGCTGGAAGGCTCACACATTTATTCTCTCTCAGCTGAAGAATGTACCAAATCTTGCATATTCCATTCAGGCAAAGTGAAGTTTAACAGCTATTTCTATTTGGCCTACACAATGCTTAATCCCCATTCCTGTTGGGCACGCTACTGTTCTCCAGGGGTGCTGTACTAACTCTTGAGTCAGGCTCTGAGAAGCTCTACAGTAGATAAAACTTATGTGTGTAGAAGATGGAAAACAATTTTGTTATGTGGTATATAAACAGTTTAGGAGGGGGTTGCTTTAGTGTTTCTGTTTTCTTTTGTAAGATCCTCTTAGCCAGCCTGTTGTGAAATACAGCAATTACAGGCTACTAATAATGGTCTGTCTTTTACTGTTAGTCAGCTGCACATACTTAAAAACTCTGCTGTACAGTTAAAAAAAAACACCCCAAACCTTTCCAGACAGATATATTTACACTGCAAGTTGTTACCCAATTGTCTGAACTTAATTTAGCCAACACTATCTCCATTTATCTTAGTGAGCGGGGAGGCTGAAGTCTTTACAGTCATAATTACTTTGTTCCAAGAGGAGGACTTCATTCATTGCCCAAGACAAAGTACTCTAAGGTACAGTGATCCAGGATTATCTTTGTCTTGATGCAACCTGTGGCTTCGTAATTGTACATCACCCACACTGCCTGATTCATCTGAAGAGGTAGAGCCCATGCTTTGCTGCTGAAGTCCTATATATATTCTTAATGCAGAATGCAGCAGAGTAACCCCCTCAGCTGACTGACGTTCACCACTCTCTCACGGGAAAAGCTGTGCTATGAGCCTTGTATTCCTTATAAATATAACTTAGTGGTGTGTTCTGTCACCTCGCAAAGGGGATGGATGCATACAGCACACCGCAGGTTCGCTCAAAGCTTGTTAGAGAAGGCTCGGGGAGACCTTATAGCAGCCTTCCAGTACCTAATGAGGCTACAGGAAAGCTGGGGAGGGACTCTTGATAAGGGAGGAGAGCCATAGGACAAGGGGGAAGGGTTTTAAACTGAAAGAGGGGAGATTGAGATGAGATCTCAGGAAGAAATTCTTTGGTGTGAGGGTGGTGAGAGCCTGGCCCAGGTTGCCCAGAGAAGCTGTGGCTGCCCCATCCCTGGAAGGGTTCAAGGGCAGGTTGGAGGGGGCTTGGAGCAACCTGGGCTGGTGGGAGGTGTCCCTGGGGGCACCCCAGGGCAGGGGGTGGCCCTGGATGGTCTTTAAGGTCCCTTCCAACCCAAACCATTCACCCACCAGTACATCCTAGCTCAGTTTTAATGACCCCGAAGGCACATCTCCATCTAATTCAGCTACACTGAAACCAACTGCTATGTATTTTTTAGCTGAAAGAGACGTTAAATGATTAAGGTATACTTTAGTATTAATATGGGTTCAAATAACAGCTTGCCTATCAGTGCCCATCAGCCTTTGAAACTGGAACCTTTCCTAAGGGGTTACAAATTCTTCCAGTAGTTGTAACTGAATATCATACACCATGTCCTTTTTCTTCTCTCCTCGACCCAACACTACTGAATAGAAGAGGGTGAGCACGTTACGAACCCTGAGTTTCAGATTGTGAGCAGGATTCAGAGAGCCTAAGACCAAAGGCAAAGGAGAAAAAGACATAATGATCTTTTTGCCACTACACGTCACTTTATCAGGTCATTTCTGTGACTTTATTCCTCTTATTTTCTTCTTTTATGGTCTGTATTTTGTAAGAAAAAAAACGGATTTACTGGTTGAATTCTAGCAAAGTATAGTTTTTAATTAAACATTATACCAAACCCACAATCTTTAAAACAGTTTGCCTGACTGTTTACAGTTTATGTTATGATTAAGATCACATTCAGAAAGCACAAAATTTTGTGGCTGCCTCCGTATCCAGAATACACAAACTAAGGAAACAGAAAGGAAAATATACAGAGACCACCGGCAAGGGAATTTGAGCAACTGGTGAATAACTTCCCTTTCATGCTGCATTCTGGATGGATGAAAATTGCCATATATGTAATTTCCACATTTAAACAGTAATGCTGCTGGCTTGGGATACAAAAGCAGATATCTGAGAAGAATGACATTAGGGTTGCTCTGTTTATACGCCACTCAAAATGATTTCTCCACCAAGTTACAGTGACTCTCCCGCCTCGACAGCGCAGACCAAGTGTGCACAGGATCCTGTAAGTGATCCTGGTACACCTTTAGCCTTCGCTGAGGTCTCAATTTTCACACTTCTCTCAAGTGTGGAACAGACACTGTATTTCTCTCTTGCACAGCCTGCTCCCTTTAAGTTGCTACAGCGAGTGCTTCTTACACCTGCCAGCAATACACTGATGCAACTGATCTACTCCTTATCCTCCTTTGGTCATGGTGATAAAAACTTTGTTTGCTTACCTCTCCCTAGCTTTATTTTGCTTGTAAGTGTTTCTTGCTTTTGCCTCAAACAGCTCCAGAACTCAACTTTAATACGTGGGAAAACAGAAGAGCAGCAAATACTTTGAAATGCTATATATTGTGGCTTGTCCTCAGGGACATCTTCTTAAATGAAAGTAAAGAAGCCAATCAAGATCTGAGTTTAATTTTACTAAGATTCTGTACTCAAAGTACTGGGACTGTCTGCTGGCTCATGTTGACTCATCTCAATGTTTCTAATGGCAACTTACTAAACTGTGGCTCAACCGATTAAAAACAGAATTACTACTTAAGATTAAAATAAAGTACTTTTTAAATTAAAAAAAAAATAAAAGGTTTCGATAGATCCTTCCAAAACTTAAAGCACTTACAGAATACTAAGCAAGTTTTGACAGTGTGTAACAATTGTTTTAAGAGCTAACTAAAACAAAAATAATGTAGCAACTAACAGTCACTGCACAGCTAAGGAAACTATTGCAACAGAGAGAACATATCCAGCTCAACTTCCTCTCCAGCTTATTTGTGTAAAACATTCTTTGGGTTGTACTTCCTCACTGGCAGGGGAGGCAGAATATCACTTTATATCCAAACAGACAAAACTGGCTGTAGTATCAACAGAAGGAATAAAAAGAAATCATAAAATATTTAAGTCTTAAAACTTGCTTTACCATCTAACCAAACCGCTGTATGACTTCATGATAGATCACTGAAGAACCTCCATCGTAACTTGACTTTTATTTTTTGTTCAGGCAGAATTATAGGGGGAGAATTATAACAGAACCTCTGAATGTTCTCCTTTTATAAACATCTACATTTATAAGTGTTTTCTATTGAAACACCATCATAAAATTGTGGAAAATTTTAAGTAAAAATAAATGTCTGAAACCTTCAGACTATCAATTAGTAACATGATTAACTACAAAAAAGGATGATTTTCTAGAATCATCTGCCCACCCCCATCTCTTTGTCAAATTCTTCCAAGTGGCAACAGGAAGAATTTAGATTAATTGCACTAATGACCTTAGTACTCTCCAATTTTATGGGTGAATGACCAACAGAATAGGTAACAATAGAGTCCTGCTTTCAACTTGAGAAATGGACCCACATATTCACGTGATGATGCGCAAGGTTTTGCACAGGCACAAAAATCCACCTGCAGGTTCACTTGCGAGTCTTTTTTTGGCTCATAAAGCCACTTTGAAATTTGGTGTGTTAATCCCTGCATAAAACAGCAAGAAGTATGTGTCAGGAGCTGAGGCTCACACCTTTTAATGTGACAAGAAACCAGACCTGAGCCCAAAAAGCTCCATTCAGTTTGCTGATGCTTGCAAAGCTCCCGCTGCCACAACTTTCTTCCAAAAAGCCATTTCACCTGTCACTGGTAGGAAAGGAAAAGAGGCAGGGCTGTCACCAAGCCTATGCAAGGTCCTGGAAGAAAGGACTTCCCTCATTTCCTTTGACTGCCAGAGAAGATCCATACCTTTTAGACACATATTACCACTAATACCCTTTATCGCTGATGTTTGTTGCACATTTCAAAAAGACAGAGCATATTCTGAACTAATCACATGGGATGACATGATTAAAAAGAAGCAGTGGAGAGAATTTAAAAATCAGTTTGTTGATCTGAATTTTCTAAAAGTCATATTAAAAATTATCTATGTATAAACAGGCACACATCTCAAAAATGACTGGTAAAAACACTTGGGAAGGAACTGATTAGCAATTAACACATACATAGCAACTAAAATAGAAACACTAGGCACTGGGGGTAAGAAATAAACCTTACCTCTTACCTTAAATCTTACCTCTAAAAACCTCCTAAACCTCTTCTCTACTTCACCCACCCCAAAACTCCCAATTACAACTAGCATCAGCTTTAAGAAATCATGAGTCCTATTTTTGTGATGCTGCTATAAAATGGAGCTTCACACAATTAATGTGTAACTGAGACTTATTTTTAAGTAACTTTTAAATGGTTAACTTCCCAGGAGTTGCAATGCCAGGACAGAACTCCATAGGTCATACTTTATCATGCTCTCTACTCTAAGCAAATGAATGCAGTGATTTTAAAATTGTCATCATTTTAAATCAGATTTTGAAGACATGATAGAGAACAGTGGTGAAAACCAGTAATCTCAGCTTCCAGGCACACCACTATTTTACGAAAAGGCAATATCAGAGTGCCCACCCCCGCAAAAGGCAATAAACTATGAAGCAAAGAAAGAACTATCACAGACTCTGACATGTTTGACAGCTTATTCCTTTGATCAGTTTATGTAAAGGACCAAATATAATCATCAAAACAAATGCATACAAGTTGCAGCGTGTCCCACTCATTTTTCTGCAGGAAGCAGCAGTGCAAGAGATACAAGATGCAAACACAGCAGACTATTCCATACCAGCCTGTCTCACCCGCCACATTAAAATCTCTCCCACAAGACAAACAAAGACTATCCAAACATTTGTTGGACGCAGAAGCAGGAACCAGGAAGAGCTGTATGCACAAGAGCAGAACAAGATGGAACGAGACCAGGAACACCCTTACCTGAACTGAAGGTGCTGGCTCTTGAGATTGCTTACTGGTAGTTCCTTGGAAAGATGCTAAAGCAAAACTGTCCGTCTTGTGTAATACTGGACCATCGGATGCCTCTGTCCTATGTGACTGCCATGTCTCTTTTCTGTGATGAGATTCACCAGCTTGGTCATCTCCAAAGGCAGCCCAAGAACAGCTGTCTTTTTGTTCATCTTCAAAAGCATTCCAGTCCGTAGCCTGGTTGCAACCTGCTGAACTGAAGTCCGCAAAGTCATCAGAGTCCTGAAAAGCAACACTCTCATCTTGAGGTTTTGGCACTGAATCAAAGTCCCCAAATTCACTATCATCACCTTTTTCTACCTCAGTAGTACGCTGGAAGTCTAAGCCTGAAGTTTTACTGGTAGTATCACATTCTAAAGTGTCAGCAGTCTGACTTAGTTCAGCTTGATCCAACCTCGCTGGCTGCTGAGAAACAGTACTTGTGTCCCTGAATTCACCAAACTCATCATTAGGTTTTTCAATATGTGCAGGCTGTTCGGAAACTCCTTCTGAATCCAGAGCATTTAGGGATTCTTGAGCATTAATGAAGGTGGGAGATACACTGCTGACTGAACCAAAATCACCAAAATCATCATGCGTGTCACCGCAAGCTACAGCTTCAGTGCTGCTTGCACCATTCTTAAGATCTTCAGAATCACCAAATTTTTCTCCTGCAAGATCACAGCTTAGGCTTCCGATCTTATCAACCTTGATGTCCTCTGTTCCCAAAGAGTCATCAGGCCTAGTAAAATCTTTGCCATTCTCTATGCCATGTTGTTTTCTCCTCCCACTGCGTTCTCCATTTTCAGTAGTGCACATTGAGCTTCCAGTTGTTTGAGACGTACTAGAAATTGCAAATTCATTATCTTCCAGTGCTGAGGGACCCTGTTCACAACTAATTTCTGAAATGCAAACCTCTTCTTCATCACAAGTTACTCTGTTTATTCTGTTGTTCTCCTGAATGCTCAGAGAGTCTCTTTCATTAAGAACACGGCATATTGTAGGTCCCGTTCCCTCTAAACAGATAGGGTTTTTGCTTGAGAATGTAGCAAAATCTGCAAAGTCTTCACCTGAGCTAGGCATTGAGTTCAAATTTTGCTCAGTACTATGGACGCTAACTGTTTTCAGTCCCTTTGAGTCACTGATACTGTCTAGATCTTCTGTTCCCTGAGGATTTACAGGGTCCGACGCCGCAAATCCGTTTGTTAGAATCTCTAGACATGGAAGTTTCTCACCATTGCAAGCATCTATTTGCTCATCCTGGCTCTCAACTGCTATACTAGTTCTAACAACACGAGAAGAAAAATCCTCTGATTCCCCAGTATTGTCTCTTTGTTCCCCTCTTTTGTTTATATCTTCTAATGCATTACCTGAAGTTCTAAACTTAGATTTTTCTTTGCTGGCACTAGTAGCTGACGTATCAGAAAGTTCCTTACTATGAGTAGGAAGCTCTGCAATGCAGTCTTTATCTTTAACATTTTTAACAGATGTGAAAGTTGCAATGCTAGCTACATTGTCCGAATAATCATGAAGTGGGATGAAATGATTTGTGGGTATAAACTCTTCCTTTGGATGACCATAGTCCGGTGTATCAAAATCAGCAAAAGCTACACCAGCAGTGCTTACACCAGAAAATCCTCCAAATTCTCCAAATTCATCATCTTCATCATCATCAGCTCCATTGTCTAGTGGTGGAGGGGATGAGGAGTACATTCGAATAATATCTGGTTCCATTGTTTAGTTCCACTTCAAAGTTAATGTATTTCTATGATAGAAAGGAAAAAAAGAAGTACGTTAGAATTTGGCTAGGTTTTGTCATCTCTTATTTTTTTTATTTTTACTGTTTCACACTTTATTTTAAACATGTGTGTATGAGTCAATGTCCATATTAGATATGAGAAAGAAATATTCACCAAACCCATTTTCTAACCAATTCTTTTGTTTTAGAAGTCACAGAGAATCTACTGGGGACAGTTCAAGTCTCTTGTAAACTATGACATGATCATCTTCTCAGCAGACAGTGCGAGACGCCCGAACACAAAACACATCCGTCTTGAGCTGTTGTGCAACACACTGACACAAACAAACTCAGTTTTAACCCATCAGTTCTCTACCTCCCATCACCAGTGATTCATAAAAGAGTCAACAATCCTGGTCCATCTTCCACCGCGCTCATATGTGCACTCAGCTGACTTGACTGCCTGTGTGACAGAAATTAAGTCACTTGATGGACTATGCCACAACAGTCCTGCGTGTGAGGCACCTTCAGCAGCACCAAAGATGTCACAAGATGCTTCCATAAGCTTTGAAATTGTGAAGGAGTGGAGGAAGGAACTGCTGTTATAATCATAGTATCATCTAGGTTGGAAGGGATCATTGAGTCCAACAATTACTACCATGCAACTTAACACTGCCAAAACCACCACTAACCCATGTCCTTCAGCACCACGTCTGCCCGTCTTTTGAACACCTCCAGGGATGGTGACTCCACCACATCCCTAGGCAGCCTCTTCCAATGCTTGATAACCCTTTTGGCAAAGACATTTTTCCTCATATCCAATCTAAACCTCCCCTGGGGCACTTGGAGGCCATTTCCTCTTGTCCTATCACTTGTTAGTCGCTAGATTGGGATCCACTGCCCTACTGCTTACGTTTCTCTCTACTGATTCATGGGTTTCTGTTGGGTCTCCCTGTTCTTTGGATTTCATAACTGTGAGCCAACACACTGTCCTCACAGCTGTTGCCACCAGCCTGCTTTTGTCTTATGAACTGCCAGTTGGGAAATACCATTATGAGCACCAGCAAAGCCTAGAGCAAAAAAAACTTCTTCATCGAAGCTTATTCTCAAAAGCAGAACAGAGCCAGATTATCCATAAAATATTTAAAGACAAATCAGAGGAGGAGAAAAAGAAACAAACAAGAAGAAAGTGGTCCCATGGCCTAGATAGAAACAGCTTAAGGACTCTGTCTTAACATTGCAAACCATTACAGTAACAGCAAGGTAGAGATGGAGAATTTTCTGTCCTAAAGAGTCATCTTGATTTTTTCAATATCGTATGTAATGAATGAAGCAGTAACTACTACTATTTACAGACTCGCAATTGTACACATCACTTTACTTGTTCACACCTTAAAGCCAGAGCTACGACCAAGTTTCCATTTCAAATTACTCTTCTCATGAATAAATCTTAACAACATACTAAGCATTATCTACAGAAAGAGTTGAAACAACCTAGACGTATTAACAAATATTTTAATTTCTAACCAGCAGAATAAGTGCAGACTAGCACACTGCTAGTTCTGAAGCACAAATAAAACATGATTCTTAAATGACTTTGAACGTGCACCTAAACAGCTGCACACAAAGGGTATAACAACACCAAGCTCTGCAGTTCTTCTCAAGCACAATGTACCTCAGCACCGGAGCTCCTGGTATTTGCCAGGAAAGTCTGGTGTCTTTAAGGTGACTAACACACGATTCTTTTTTTTTTTGTAAAAAGGGAATTTTGCAGTAATAAAAGAACATCATGCTTATCAGATGAAACCATGAAGCAATTGGTATCATCACATGCAAACTGAAGACGACTGGCAATTTGTTTAGAATAAAGAGTAAGTTGTCAACAAGCTCCCACATAGGCTTACTCAGCACCAGCTGCTTGAGAAGGTATTTGAGAGGAGAGTTTTACTCTCTTATCTCAGAGGCCTCATCTCTCAAGAGCACTCTCCTTTCTACATCAAGGCCTAGCAATTGCCATTTAATGTCATACGTAAATATAAAAGATCCTTTCCAAGATTTCTGTAGAGTGTGACTTTGTGTTCGCGCCAAGATCACTCCAACCCGCTCACTTTCCAAGCTTCTGGGTTTTCAATCCACTAAATACAACATTAACATTTCTGCTTTGTAACTATCAGAGCAGCCGTTCCTTCTTTATATCTGGAATTCCAAGATCTACTGCAATCAACCATCAACACCAAGATTAAACACCCAGTATATCCAGACTACAATTGCTTCCTGACTGTTTCACTGCAGAGAAAGATCCATATGTTTTACACACAGATATGCCCTGGTGCTGGCTGTTCTTTTGTAGAAAAAAAGACTGGTTAGGTAAATATAGGTATATATTAGCTGTGCCCATCTGAAGGCACCTTATATGGGGGAATAGCACTATATAAAACTCTAGGGGAGGTGGTTAAACAGTGAATGGCATTGTCTCTGCCATTTATGATTCCTAGGTTCATGAATCAGGAGCTCTTTAGGAACTTTGGACATTTATGAGAGAGGACAGAAAAAATGGCATCAGTCAGGATGGGACTCACTCCTTCCCTCTAATTCCTGGAAAAGGATTTCTTAGTTTCTTTTTTTAAATTAAAAAACAAAACAACAAAAAAAAAAACCCAAAATGTGGGTTTATTTGGTTACAACAAATCATCCCTTGTAACTAAATTTGAGTTCACAAGTTTCCAGACAAATCTCAGTAGAGAGTAACAGAAATTTATTATTAAACTTCCCGAAATTCAACAAGAGTTGTTACACCTATTTGGAAAATTCAGTTGACACAATATTTATCATCTTACCCCACATGACAAAAGCCAAAGAGACTATAAAGGCAAGATACTATTCCCTGAAACAAACAACAACAAAAAGATACCCTCAACAATATTTCGAGGACAGCACTGACTGGATATGAACCTTCATCATCCCAAAAGAAAAAGAAGCTTGAACAGAAACAGTGAAATAGCTGGAAAGAAGGAAAGTGAAAATAAGAATCTTAAGAATCTTAAAAAAAAAAGAACACAAATGCACCCCTGATCAGCTTCTGTAGGGTGGGATAAGCAGATCCTTGGCCAAGACCAAGTACTATTATTGAAGCTTCTGCAACCTCAAAAGTTGTTTTATGATATGATTAGACATTTTATTCTTTATTAGGCAGAGACGTACAAGCCCTCTAAAGCACATCTCCAAAGCCATTTGGAAAGAAAATATTTTAAAATAGAAAACGACAGTTCTGCAGCATGTTGATTTACACTGGAAAGAAAAAGCCATATAACTAAACCCATAGAAATTTGAAGTGGAAATCCAATTAAAATCCACAAACATTTCAATTACTCTCAAACAGGTAGTCTATAATACATTACATACTTAACGAAGTCAAATGCTTGTGTGCTGACACAAGCTAAAGCTAGAAGTTAATACATTTGATTTTGAAACTTAAGATTTCTGAAGTCCACAAGATCCAGCCTTGAAGCTTTCATGCAGTACAAGGAATAAAAATCAAGTTTAATATAGAAGTATCACACTATATATAAATTAACTCCAAATGGCTACAGATCAAGTTTTTCTTTTTTTGAAACAGTTTTAAAATAATGAAGTCACGCAAGCAATTATATTAAAGTAAAAAAAGAGACTAGATCTAGGTAGACCAACCTCCTCTCTCCTAGAAACTTTGTTTTTATTGATGAAACGTCATGAGAAGTGGCGGGGAAGCTGAAGACAGAAGCAACCCCTAATTTGTTTCCACCTGGCAAATACATAGTTACAGCACTGTATGTAAGAATGACATCAAACTATGGTCTTGCTGGTCCGGTAATAAAACATATCTATATTGTGTTCCTACAGCCTAAAGTTTTCTAAAATCTTGGAAAGTACTTTGATCAGCTGCCACACTTCTCGTTGGCTAAGAAGCACCACCAGCTCAGTAGCCTACCTAGATTACATTTATGGATAGGAAACAGATGCAGGAGCACTGATGAGCCTCCTAATGTATGCATTACATAGGCCAATATTACAGAAACTAAACAACAAAAGTGCAGTCATCAGGACTCTAACTAAAAAACAAAGCCTAACTAAAAAGTTTGGGGTTTTTTGGTTTTTTTTCCTCTTTTTTTTTTTTTTACTGTATCTCAAAGACAAATCCTAACACTATGAATCAGAGGCCTTGAAAAAAACCTCTGAAGTTCCCCACTAAAAAGAAAACTTGTCTGCATGTTTCACCAAAAGCATGCATGTTTTCTTTTATTTTTAAACCTTCTCAGATTGATAAGCTTGTATAACTTGATTTTTCACTTGAGTTTTGAAATACCACATTCAGCTCTGTATTAGTAACTGCTCCATCACTTGACATCAGAAGACCTCAAGCAAAAAATGCCAACAAAAATGAATTCTTAACCTGCACTGGACATACTTCCATGTATTATCCATCATAACAACTCTACCTGTATTTTTTGCTGACCATTTATGATATTATTATCTTAACCTCAGTTAAAAATAAACCATAATAGAGTTGAGAAAATCCTTAGGGGCAAAGATGATCTAAAAAAAATATCCCAAGACGCAGCGTTCAGAACGCAAACTGAATAAAGTGAGAGCAGCAAGCATCACAATCAAAGGGAATTTACCTACAAGACTACTTTTCTTTCCAGTTAATAAGAAAAAAAGGGAGGCAAGGAAGAAGAATAGTAGGGACAAGCACAGGACAAAGATAAATGAAGAGGCTGCACGGGGGATGAAGCAGACTGCCAAAGCCCAATCAAACATGTAGGAATATCTCTGACCATCTGAAAATTTTCTCTCCTGCAATTTCTGACATAGAGAAGAAGAAACTTCCTTCAATTTTTCATTTCAAAGCACTTTTCAAACATCACAGGGACCATTTACACAGCAGCAGTTCAGTAGCACAATACTCTGCTCCACATACGTTTCAATAACAGTTGCCAAAACAGGATCTGCAAGGAACATTAACTGTGCATTTAAAAATCTGATCATAG